GTGGCGCTTGTGTGCTGCGTGGGGTCACAGCTAATAAGTCGACATTTCTTTGCAAGCTCTTCATATTTTGAGTTTCTGGAGCGCAATTTTCAATTTCTTCCACATTTCAGGGTTTCTCAAAACAACCCCATTGTATGCAAGAACTGTATATCCATCAACCTTGTTTTGAGGATAAACTGCAAAAAAAAATTCTTAACAGGTACCCTATTTCAGGATTTATTTTTATTATGCAGAGACTTTTTTGGCGTGGGGTTTAGTCACAGGAATTGCACATGATGCACAATGCTTTATTTATTATTTCCATTCAACGCTTCACTAACTGTGTAAGCCAGCCAAGCACCATCTTCCATTAATGAAAGTTCTGTGCTTGTGTGATCTTTTGTGATAAAAAGATGTCATTCCTGAAGAACAAAAACACTTACAATTTTTTATTCTAATAAAATATACGGAGACTGTAGCATGTCTTAAAAATGGCAGGAATGACAAATATTCCTGAACCAATTCTAAATATATATAAGTGTGGTTAATTTCACATGATCAAGTAGAAGGGAAATAATAAAATAATAAAAATATAAAACAATAAAATTCTCACGACATTTCGACTGCAACACAAGCAAACATCATCACATTTTATTGTTTTATATTTTTATTATTTTATTATTTCCCTTCGACGTGAATTTGCCGAAAGAACCAAGAATACAAATCTCTGCAGACACGAAAGCTTTAAATCAAAATGATTGATTTGGTAATGTAGTCACCATCTGCAGCGGTTTGTCATATCATGGCGAAAGCTAGCTATATCCACCCCGAGTTCCATACTTGTACATTATGAATGCTTCTCTTACCCAATTGAACCATGACCCCCACAAACTGCTGTGACTCTCATTCATGTCTTCATTCGCATCTTGTTTATTAAAAGCGACCCTACATTCTGTGGAAATCCCAACTGTAGCTACCCAAAGGAGTCATTTACCCGTGTCGGAGGAAAGCGGAATTTTCACCACTAAGTCAAGGCTGTAAACAGGAGATGGACATCGCCCTGCACTGATAAGAACCCAGTTTTGCTTTTTGACTCGTGACTCATTATTTGATCCAAACTTCAGATTGCTAAAACTGAAATCCACACAATAAATCAAAACAGAATATTACACCGATCCTCAATATAAGCACTGGTTTGACATCAGCCAACCATGCAATTGCTTATCACCATCTTCCAGATCTTGCAACGAGAGTTGCTCCGAAGCGACATCCCCGATCAAAGTAAATCGCGTCACTCTCAAACTTACTATGGTGGTAATTTATTATTCTCTGCTGTTGTTACCGTCGGGAAGACACGAAATTCCAACTGTGTACCCAAATCTCAAGTAGAGGATCTGGCAATCGTCTATTACGCATTATTAAGTCATCCCTTTTAATTCATATTTACATTCCTTTACACTGGCTGTTCACTTATTTAATGTCGCTTATTAACTAATGTGTAATACATTACATGATTATATAAATGTCGTGTGTACTACTGGAAGGTCTTGCGTTGAGATATTTGGCCAATTAATTAATTACATTTCTAATAATAAAGTATCTCCATAATAGAGGTAAAAGTATCTGCTTAATTCCCCAATTAGTCTAAAGGTGTTCACCCCATGCTGTCAATACATAGTGCCTGGATACATCTTTCACGCAATGTAAATACAATTGTAGTTTAAAACATGCAATATGTAGTAACCACTGTTAAACAATTAACATGCACAGAAAAAAAATATATATCACATGGTGTGCATATTTAATTAGAGCTCCCATTGAAGGGCAATTCCCTTCTATAGGGGCTTCAATAACTGTTTTATTTTGCCAGGGCACAGCTGCAGCGCCCTGATTAGGCCCAACACATCAGAACATGTGTCTGTGGTTGCGAACAAGCACACCCATCGCAAGTCCTGTTTCATCCACAACAGCAAACATGGGCAAGCGTTCCAACCATCGGGGCCCCAGTGGCACACACCATGCCACTGGGCTCCTGCTGCAAAAAACCGGCTGCCCACAATGGCTCTGCGCAAGGTGCGTGGACTTTACATACAATGGCAATTAAAATCTGCAAAAAAAATTTTCGTCAAAATGTTACATTCAAAATTTGAGCTCTACCACTGGTCTATAAGATAACGAACTGGAACAATTATTTCAGCTCTTTGCCAATCAATCCTCTGCAGGATGAAGGCTTCCCCACCACGCAATACTGGGGCGCCGCGGTGGTGAGATGTTAACGACCTCGACTGATATGAAGGAGGTCGTTGGTTCGATCCCAGCCCCGACGCCTGTATATTTGGAGTTTGCATGTTCTCTCTGTGGTCGTGTGGATTTCTCTCCGGGTCCTCTGGTTTTTCCCTCCCCATTTAAAAACATGTGTTTAAATTATTCGGCTGCTATAAATGTGGCTAGGTCGCTTCTCAAAAAGAGCTATACAGCTCAGTGGGCCTTACCTGGTAAAATAAAACGTTTAGTTTAGTTCATATTGCTCACGGGTGATCATTTGACCATACTTCTTCGTGCCGAAGCGAGATGTCTAGAACCAGTTCAGATGTCACTCACCACTGATGTTAGCAGTGGCTGAGAATTTAACTCAGGTCGGCTGAGCCACCATTTATTCATAGGACAAGTCTATTACTTGTTTGTTTTGCAATTAATTAGTTCTTTTAACTTGTTTTCCAAGCAACCAAAATTGTTTCCACTCTTAAGTCTAGTCGCAGTCTTAGTCTATGGAAAGTAAATGTTTTATCTAGTCTGGCATGTGATTAAAATATAACATCAGCTATAGGAATGTGGAAGACGGGTTGTGAATTTAGTCAAATTTACCAAAGACAAATTGCCCACAAGGAACAGCATGCAGCCTTTCAAAGTGTAATAACTTCTTTACAATTGGAATTCATGACCATATACTTGCAGGAGCAAAGTTACTCAACCATGTACTGATGTTTCACTATTGTTATAGATCAACACGGTATAGTGCGACTGTTCCTTACTGCTACAGGGTGCATACATGGACTCCTTTATTAAACAAAGCATGTTAACTCTGTACCATATGTACGAGCATGCGCTGTTAGATCTCATACATCATGGGGAGCAGGAGTGTAGCAGCTAGTGTGCTGCGCTACGAACCTGGCAACCCGAGTTCAATTCCACTCACGGCCAACACCAGTGATTATTATTGGATCTGGTCCCGGGCCTCCCCTAGGTCGATTCAGCCTAAAATAAATGGGGAGACAAAGGCAGCTGGGCATGGTGCTGGCTACAGCACCCCCTCGTGTGCCGTGCCATCCTTCATAGGTGCTCGCTAACAGCACTTGGTCCAAAAGTCTGTTAAGGCTATACGGTGGATTTTTGTATTTGTTAATGTACTCAAAGTATGATTGGCTTTAGTGGAATATAGCGTATTCTTTGGATTATAAGACGTTCCCTCCGAAAGTTAGACTCACCACAGAAGTTATACAAGCACACACAACATCCTACGAGATTATAAGAAGCACCCACCACTTTCGTTTTAAAATACATTGGGGGGAAACTGCATCATAATACAATACATATTCTGCAAATTGTTGTTATAATAACCATTGCACAATATTTATCCTATTTTAAGCGACATTCAGTGTTTTCTTACCTCGGCCCGTCGACTTGGTCGCATACTGCCACAGGGTGCATTCGGCGTCAACTCATTCACTACACTCTCCCATATCCACTCATTCCTTAACAATGACAGTGCATAACCAAGCAGTTTGTGGGATGGGCAACAGCAATTACCAACTATTCATAATACGCCACAGGAGTTACGTCATGCGACAAATAAAAATTATTCTCCAATTCCTTTGCTCATCAGAAAATAACATTATGTAAGGGAACAGTCCCAAGAGGAGATATGGCAGAGCTACTGCTGGTGCATCAGACGTGTTGTTAATGCACATTCATCATTGACTGGGCACATACCGTCAACTCGCTTCACTTGAGAACCTAATTTAATTACGGGCACTTGTCCGGATTTGAACTCTCAATGTCAGCAATGCTTGGGCAGTGCTGACATGTGCATTTTCCCTGAAACCATACATCCAATTTCCTCCAATATTTCACTTTAATCTTTGTAGCGGTATCTCCACGCTTACATTTGGATGGTGAATTTCTCGAACTGATGGAGCCAAGACATTAGTGGATACTCCACATTACTGTAACCAGGGGTCAGTCTCTCCATAGAAAAAGCAGCATTGTCTTTCCACTCAGTGGTACTCGTTTTATTAAATCCAGATGATTGACCTTTAACTGGGATTTTAACTACGGATTTTCTGATTGTGAGTCGAGTTCTCTGCGACACTCTCACTGCCACCTGTCCTGATGTTGAAGAAGCAGTTTTTTTTGTTCCAGTCAAGACAACTTTGTGAGACAGCTAAAATAGCTTAAACATCCTGTTATTAAGGAAATGCAAGCATGAGCAGCTGCACAATAGCTTGTGCTATAAATGCTATTCACCGGGAGTTCGATAACCTGCCACTGTGGAAAGTGATATCTGAATCGGTCCTGGCAAACACCACCATTCCTTCACCAACCCGCACTCACCAGCGTGGTGAAGTACGGTCAAACAACCCTCGTGATCCGATGGGTGCCGCGGTGGTGGGATGTTAACTGCCTCGCCTGGTATGCAGGAGGTCGTATATATTTGGAGTTTGCATGTTCTCCCCGTGGTCGAATCGATTCTACGGTTTCTCCCTCCACATTTAAAATCACCATGCCTTTAGAGTATTTGGCTGCTCTACATTTCCACGTAAGCCACATCGTTGAGCTATCATTTGTGATAGCCAGGTCACTTCTGAAAAAGAGCTACATGGCTCAGTGGGCCTTACCTGGTAAAATTAAAAAGTTTAGGTTTCTTTGAGGGTACGTGGGGAAGCCCTTCGTCCACCAATGGCCTGCAACTTATTTCACTCCTGAGCATGATCAGCCGGGTCCCGGTATCGTGTGCAACCCACCTGGCCGTGCTGGCTGTTGCGGCCCTGTGGCGTGTCTTCGGGCAGGAAGTAGAGGCGGGCACTGGCGACGGCCTCGCCAGCCTCTCCTGCGGGGCCTCTACCATGGGCCTCCGCTGGCCTCCACAGCAGCAGCAGCTGGGCCAGGCAGACGGGGCCCGTGGCGTCCCAGCGCACCGCGTAGAAGTGGCCCACGCTCAGCGAGCGCTCGGGCATCGAGTTGACGCGCACCGCCTGGTAATAGACGCGGCCGTCGCGAGGCGTGCTCGGGGCGCCCCCCCACTGCACGCAAACGGAGAAGAACGTCGTGGGTAAAACTTGGTGCAACGGTTGGCAGAGGCGTGCGCAACGATTCACACGCGGATAATTGACGAACGAATCTTATCGCCAAGTCCTGCAACAGCAGTTGTATATAAGGTGTATGTATGTGCATTTGATTGGCTGGTCTGAAAAAATGTTTCACAACAGTAGATTTTAAAGATGCCGTGACTTCTTCGAAAACATAAATCAGCGATATTGCAGCATGAAGGTCCAAATTTGTCAAATTAGAAAAATGACCCACTAATTACCTAATTGGCAGATTATACACATCTATGGAACATAGCAACTTTGTGACAGCTTTGCACTATGGAAATTACAAGAACACCAAATGCACTAATCATGATTGTTCTTGAAGAGCCAGGCTCGACTGACAATGTGTTGGTGGCTTAACCAAGTAAATACCAAGTTGCTATTTGTCAAGGGAATCTCATTATTTAAAAACGACAACAACAAACAAGCAGGTATGTTGCAGAAACATGTCCAGGTTATGTATTTAGGACCATTGGATGAAGAAAAAACATTTTAGTACAGCAAAATAAACGTTTTTACACTTTATATTAGGAAGTGCAAGATTTAATGGAGCAGAAATGGGAACCGGTTACAATGCGCATGAGAGAGCGAGAAAAACACAACAGGAAAGGCACACTTTTACTTTAAAGTTTTTGCACGAATGCATTCACAAATAAGACTCGTTTCCTGTGCGCCGTGCCACGCAGCATGTAAGGGGAACGTCTCTACAATGCAGGGGATCTCAATGGGTCATTAATGTGCTAGAAAATGTCCACAGCACTGTCCATGAATTAATGCCGGGTCGAGATGTCCAAATAAACTTCATCATTTATTGAATGACCATGAATATTTATCGTGATATTTAAACGTGCTGGACACCACACGTGTGTTTAGTTTTTGAACCACATGGCAGTACTTGTGGGCTCCACTAAAAAAAGCACAAGTCCACCACCACTTAACACTACAGGTCTCAAGAGCACCGAAATGCCAGCCACATAAATATCAAAATATTAATTAAATCAACAAATGCAGTTTTCGTGACTCGTCACTCTTCATGCATTCCCAATATAAATAACTAACTCGTCGTATCGTGTTCATACATAAATATTACATAAACGTGTTCCTCCATCACAAGCTAATAGCACGCTTATATAATGCAACATATGCATTTGTCCAAGTGTAGTTATTACTGTATTCGCGTGGGCTGGGAATTTTACACGTCAACACTGAAATGTTTTAAATTATCATCTCAGCGTTGCCTCATTAAAGTCGGACTCCCACCAAGCAGTTAATAGCCGAAAAAAATTACATGAACTAGTTTTAAAAGAGGTTGGGGGGGGGGGCAAAACCCCCCAAGTAAAACTACTTCATTAAAAATCGAGAAACTGTCTAATGCACAGAGGGTAAAGAGAGATAAACAAAAAACAATGAACACTTCGACATAGCAAATAACGTGAAAGAGTTTGCCTGCGAACACGAATGGCCAGCGTAGAGATTTGGCAAACACGCTCAAAACTCGAGTCGAGGAAATTAAAAACACAGTGCCCCCCCAGTAGATACAACAATATCCCCTATTGATGCTATTGATGATGTCGTGTGTAGTGTGTTAGACCGTTCAGTCTCTATCAGTCAGTGGCTGTCTTTCTCCGGGGGCAATGCAACTTTTTATTTTAAACACGCGACGCATTCTACACACACAAACACACACACACGTGTTATATAACGCGTGCATATTGCACACACACGTGTATATTGCACACACACACACACGTGTGTTTAGAATGGTGTGTGCGTGTTTTATTTACGACTCGCCCCGACTGTACCCGACAAAAGCATTGCAATATCTACCGAGGCCTACGTGCTGTACGAGTTGTTTTAATGTCAATTCTGTGAATGGGGAAACTCTTCTTCCGTCGTGGATAGCTACCGTAAGCACGTATGTGTGTGTGTGTAGTATGCGCTGCTATAATGTAACATGCGTGAACATGCATGTTGTATCTACGGAATGCAATGTACTGCTTAAGCGTGAGCTCAGTTGCACAATACGAATGCGGTGTTGTAATGATTAACGTGTTTAACACGTGGCCTTTAGTTATGTTCACGATTATTACTGTATGGACATGTCCCCTATACAACAGTATCAGTATGCATATACTGCATACTTGAATGTATTTAACAGATCCTGCATATGCACGAGTGCTCATTGAGTGTTGGGAAAAAGTCAGTAATGTACTGATGTCCATACACTTGCAAGCTTAACATTTTGATTACTCGCATATATTTTGTACAGTAACAACTGTGCAATGCACTGCCTGTACAAAATATAATGATGCGTCGCATATTATGTATGTTATTGCATGCACTACTTTATTGCATTTATCATACAGGACTTTATTTGGTAGGTATTAGTCGATGCTTTAAGTTTTATAGCGGAAATAGTCGTGGGATCTATAAACTACCCTAGTACAATGTTAGTGTGTTTGGTGAATGTGTGTACACATTTTTTTTTAAATAAACTACATTACAAAGCACTGTTCTGTAATGCTTTAGCCCTGCCAATCCACTGCTGGATGAGATGCTCCAAGTGCACGTTGTATTGTTGTAACACTGCACTGTATATCATCATGTACTGTAAATAGTTACCACATGGCATTGAATACAACCTCACTGCACTGTATACGGCAACGTGCTGTAACCTCACCACAGGTGTAACACATTCATATACACAGAGGGCTGCTGCCCAGTTACAATTCAACAAAGCCAACAACACACCGAGACCTCCTTTACCAGTGGCAAAATATAGTAATAGGTTTTTACCCTTTCAACTGGTACAACAGCATTGGAGAAGACACACACACACACAACCTCTAGTGGCGTACAATAGTGACTACAAAACAACCACAACAATAACAACAAGTAGTAGTAGTTGTTGTTGATCACACATCATCGTGAGAAGTTGGGAGAGAATTGCGATGGGCTGGAGACACCCAACACTGATAATGGCGCTTTAGAAGGCCACATGGGTTCTTGAATATGAATACAATGAATCAAGAAGGAGGAGGGACATGTTACAAGCAGGCACCAACCACAACCACCACCACCACCACCTTTGGCACAAGTACAAAACCACACTCTCTCTTCTCTTCTCAGCTAAATCAGTGCACAGTGAGACAATATAAATTCAACTTACAACTTGTGGTCGGACACATTCCTATACAGAGACCTAACACACACACCACACTCTCGTAACTTTTGTACGCAGTTTAATCACAGGCGTGTAAAAGATCACCACCTAACAACACACGTTGCTGTACTCGCTACAAACAGGGACACGTAGTACAACACAAGTTGTAACACTTAGCAAGGAACGGGGGGCGTGGAATGATGGGAAGTTGGAATAAGTTTTGCTGAATTCTACCGACGTCGCGTTAAGAACAAAGAGCCCCTAAACACACAATGGGCGTGCAGCACAATTACGGCGAGATATTGAAGTGCCACCACCACCACACACAGCCACGCGTTGTGCCACAACCACCACCACCAAACCACGTTGGTTTTACAACCACCACCACCATCACCACCACGCGGGTCTCACCACCACCACCACACATAGCCACGCGTTGTGCCACAACCACCACCACCAAACCACGTTGGTTCCACAACCACCACCACCAAACCACGTTGGTTCCACAACCACCACAACCATCACCACCACGCGGGTCTCACCACCACCATCACCACGCGCCACCACCACCACCATCAATCACATCGCCACCACCACACAGCCACGCGTTGTGCCACAACCACCACCACGATCACCACCACCAAACCACGTGGGTTCCACAACCACCACCACCACCACGACTACGACCACGCGGGTCTCACCACCATCACCAACACCACCACTTCCATCAATCACATCGCCACCACCTCCATCATCACCACCACCATCATCACCACCACCATCACCACCACCACTTCCATCAATCACATCGCCACCATCATCACCAACACCACCTCCATCATCACCACCACCATCATCACCACCACGGTCAACAACGCAGCACTACCACCACGCTGGTTTTCTCCACTACCACCACCACCACTACCACGCTCCACCACCAAGACCACGACCAACACGCGGGTTCAACCACCAGTCCACCACTACCACGCTCCACCACTACCGCGCACTACCACCACCCACCAACCACAACCTCCAACCACAATCCACTTTAACTTTAAATACTTTATAACTCAAAAGCGAACGGGCAATCACGGCCGCGTTACATAAGCGGCGAGCGAGAACGCGATACGAGAACTTAGCACACAAACCTCGAGCCGCGTGGTGTTGTGGTTGTGTGTGCGCATAGCCACACACACAGCCCTGCTGCTGTTGCTGTTGTAGCACCACCACCACCAACAACCAACAACAACAACCAGCAATAACAACGAAAGGCAAAGGCCGCCCGTGTTACACGAACACCATCACTACAGCAACAGCAGCAGCAGCAGCAACCGGCCCCCCAAGTGAAAGTAAAACAGAAATCCGATAACTCGTCCCGAGATCACTTTTTGTGCTACACGTACACACGGCAGTGTGAGGTTGTGTGTGCGAGCTGGTGGTAGTGTTGGTTAGATCGCGAACGAAACGCGACAGAACGTAATATTTATAACATTCCCCGTCCTTAGCCACACAACAACGACAACAACAACACATCCCAAACGACGACACCACCACCACGAACATTGCGCTACCTTGATTGAATCCGACTCCTCCATCAAGGCGCACTGCTGTCGATGTATTTAGTGGAGCCGCGCTGCTACATTCCCAGTGGCCGCCTGTAGGCGGGGACTGTGGCGGGGTGGGGGGTGGGGGCGCTGGGGGAGTGGTGGGAGTAGTGGTGGGGGTGGTGGTGGAGTGGTGGGAGTAGTGGTGGGGTTGGTGTGGGGGTGGTGGGGGTGGTGAGGGGGTGGTGTGGGGGTGGTGGGGGTGGTGGGGGGGAGTGGTGGTGGGGGTGGTGGTGGTAGGAGTGGTGGTAGAGTGGTGGGGGTGGTCGTGGGAGTGGTGGTGGTGGTAGGAGTGGTGGGAGAGTGGTGGGGGGAGTGGTGGGAGTGGTGGGGGAGTGGTGGGGGTGGTGGGAGTGGTGGGGAGAGTGGTGGGGGAGTTGTTTGGTTGGGTGGTACCGCACCAACAACCCCGCCTGCAAGGCTGGCCGCCCGCCCTCAATTTGGGGCAATGCAATTCGCATAGCGCAGACAAAAGGTCCCACCCAGCCACCCATCAGACAATCCCCCATCACCATCACCACCACCATACACAGCGCCTACTTTTAGTGGCAAGTGCAGTTTGTTGTGTGAGTGAGAGAGGTAAACAAAAATAAACACAACCGCAGTCCATACCTGTTAACCCCTTATCAGTTGCCTGCTACCTTGTTACAGACCAATTCACACATTGTTGGTCACCCCGTGCCCTTATAAATCTATCCTATAAAGTCACATCGCAAGGGAGAAACACAAATAGACAAAAACGATGTTTTGCCCGTGTGGACCTGAGCACTCAATTTCCATGTACAGGAATACAGGTAAACACCATTTGGGTTGACAAATATGACAGTCTGTTAAATCTTCACTTAAAGCTTTCGTTACTGCAGGAATTCATATTCTTTTGGTCTTTCGGTAAAGTCACGTAGAAAGAAATTACATTAAATAATAATAGAATACGCCGTTTCGATTGCAACACAAGCAACCATCATCAGGTATAAATGAATGAGAAAACAAACATAAATTTATATTTAAAGCTTTCGTGACTGCAGGGATTCATATTCTTGGTTCTTTCGGTAAAGTCACGTAGAAGGGAAATAATAAAATAAAATATATATTTTTATTTAAAATAATAATAAAATAGAAAAATATTTTAAATAAATAGAAAATATTTATCTATTTATTATTTTAAATAAAATAAAATTATAATAAAATATAAAAATTAATATTTTATTTGATTACTTCCCTTTTACGTGACTTTACCGAAAGAACCAAGAAAACAAACATCGTAATATAATGCAATACAACACAGAGAGTTGGCCAACAAAACAGTCAACACCTGTCTCCCCGACAGACCTGGTCTTCACCTGAGGACGGCTGCTTGCGTTGTGGCCGAAACGTCGTGAGAATTATTTTATTATGTTTTATTTTTATTATTTTATGATTTCCATTCTACGTGACTTTACCGAAAGAACCAAGAAGATGGACCGATTTTTTTAAATTCTAGATTTGAATTCTAGATTTGAAGTTTTCGTCACTGCAATGATCCATACTCTTGGTTCTTTCGGTAAAGTCACGTAGGTAAAAAAAGATAAAAAAGATTTTAATTTTTTTTAAGACGGCAAATCGTCGATACACAAATTAAACACTGGCACGTAGGTGCCACTACTTTGTTTCATCAAACCCTATGTATTTCTTAACATATTAAAACAATTACGACGTGCCTTAGACTTTGTTCAGCCTGCGTACGCATCTCACGTGTTATCTCGGACTGTGCTTTACCCTGTATCATGTATTTTTATTGTAACGCAACATTTTCCCTTAACGTGGTGTTCTTCGCGAACGCAACTACCGCGTTATAGGAGAAATGTATTTTTTATTTTAGCAGGTAAGGCCCACTGAGCTATGTAACTCTTTTATTCAGAAGTGGCCTGTCTATCACAAATGATTGCTGCTCAACGAAGTTGGCTTATAATCACGTGGACATTTTTAGCAGCCAAAGTCTCTAAACGCGTGTTGTTGATTCTAAATGTGGAGGTGAAGAAACCGGAGGACCCGGAGAAAAAAATCCACGCGACCACGGGGAGAGAGAGAGACAAGCAAACTCCAAATATACAGCAGCAGGCGTCAGGGTCAGAATCGAATCCACGACCTCCTGTATACCAAGCGAGGTAGTTAACATCTCACCACCGTGGTGCCCTATGGATGTGATGAACGGAGGTGCCGGGGCTGAAAGACAAATAAACTAAACTAAAAACGAAAAAAGCAGTTTTACAGAAATTAGTTTGTCCATCTGGATGATTTTATAAGTGCAAAGCTCCCAGTGACTTCCTCATATCGGAAGAGCGTCTCCAGACGAGCAGCAGAAGCATGAGGCGCGGGTGGGTGGGTGGCCAGCACCACCACGCTCGGCCGCCTTTGTCTCCCTAAGTGGCGATTTTATTTTACGTGTATGTTGAACTTCTTTCGCACCGTATGTTACCCACCGTGCTAAACGGTGGTGGTGGGGGGGGGGTGAAGGACAAACAAAACAAAAATACGAAAAAATATTTACACATCGCACAAGGTCCTCGATTTAAGGCCGAGTCGACCTAGGAGATACCCAGATCTGGGTTCAGATAATCGTCAGTGATGTTGGCGGTGGCCGTGAGTGGGAATCGAACTCGGGGGAGGGAGGGGGACCGGGGGGGGGTCGTATCGCAGCGCGCTAACCACTGCGCCACCGCTCCCCGTACAGAGAACGCGCATGCCACCCACGCACGTGTGCACGATGATGCGGATGAGGCTCTTGCCACTCACGCTGCACTTTACAATAAAACACACCGCTGCCTTTGCAACTGCGCGCAATCACTGCCATTGGTGTGACTCATTCGTCCTTTATTTCATCGTTTCGTCATCGGCAAGCCGAGGTCTTAGCCAGACCACCGCAGATCATCCAAACCCGCACGTTCTTGCCCACTCATCCATCGGGCGTCCTCCTCTATCCACTGCTGCACAATGCAGGCCACGCGTATTCTTCTTCCCACTTTACAGAACAAGACCGGTCTCCCATTCCAGACGGATACGTCTCAATTCTCACGCGCACGTGTTCATCGTCCTCATCCCCGCGTGGTGGTTTTCGTCTTACTCCTTCGGTCAACTAAAATGAGTACCAATCTATAAAATGAGTACCCATGCATCGTCAAACGTCAGCACTGGGAAGCACGATTAATTTGCGTGATTGCAAACCGTACACTTTTGACACTAGTCAAAATATAACAATGTACCTGCATTCTACACGACATGCTGTAGCTAACATCACGCAGTGTGTTGTACGCGTGCTTGGGAAGGCAGTACACGCAGGACAATTACGTGCACTTCACCAAAAGAGGAAGGCACTTGTACCAGTTCCATAAACTACTTTTTGTTTTCGGGCTTACCGGCTGACCTTTCGCTGAATTATACACAAAAGCTGCCTTACATTGTCCGGAAAGGCGGGGAAGGGAAGATTGCTGTAGTTGAACCGTGTTAAGCTAAACTGTACGGTTCTATTTAAATGCATTAATCTCTTGACGTGCCTATCGTTCTATGGCAGGTACATCAGGACATATATCTTCTTAAAAAATGCCATCAACTCGTTAGGATTAGAAGTGTCTTAATGACACTCAAACTGATTGCATGCTGTACAAGTGCCCTAGTTATACCACTTTATAAAAAGTCGTGTTTTTGACACTGCGTATAACTTGTATTTTACAAATCCGTGGTTAAACATTAAGCGCAAATAGGTTTCCAATTGACCAGGGCAATAAAACACGTGTGTGCAGTGGTTAGCACACTGCACTACGAACCCGGCTACCCGAGTTAGATTCCCATTCACGGCCACAAACACAATTGGCTATTATATCAACCCGTCCCGGGCCTCCCGTAGGTCGACTCAGCCTTAAAAAAATCAGTACGTGGTGCGGTGTGTAAAACCATCAGCACTGGGGAGACAAAGGTGGCCGGGCGTGATGCTGGTCACCCACCTCCAGCACTTGCCACCGAAAGTCTGTTAAGGCTATACGGGGGGCATTTGTCTTTGTTGTGGTACTTGTTATTGTGGCATGAGAGTCCAGTGTTGCCACATTGCTTCTTGACACAATTTCCGGGATTTAAAATAAGACATCTTTTTTGTTTATTAAAATAACATCGCACTGTAATATATTTAAGTCTTTTTTTGGGTGGGTGGGGAGGGAGGATCTCATACGATGGACCAATTTAAATACGAGGTGCTATTTCAAGTTTTTTGGATTGTTTCGACATTAAAAGGCGTGTATCGTAATTCACAGCTGCCCCTTTGCGTAGAACTTGCTGCGTTTTTTTTGTGTCGGTGGCATTTTAATGTAACCTCAAAATATGTGCCAATCATTGTATTTCTTCTGACGTTTTAAAAGCATCGGCGTTGCAAGTGCAAAAACCCAACCCTTATTGTACAACCAGCTCTTCGCCGTTGGGTTTGTTGCAAGTTCGCAGGGTCATATACACATACACGTCTGTTTAAACATTAGGAAGTGTATAATTTAAAGAATTATACCGTGGGTTGGCAATGTTCCTTCTTTACGGCCAAGCCATTAAATCAAACCCACCACTTTTTTTTACAGGTGCACAGTACGGTTTCTGATATATACTGTAACACAAGAGTTTGGATTGTATCAGACCTTGCGTGTTAAATGTTTATACCTTTCTACAATATACATACAGGGTGGTGCAGATATATGTCTTGTGACCTCCCACTTAATGGGCCCCTAACATAGTTTTTCCTAGTAGTAGGTTTTTACCCTTTCAGTGCGCTGTCTGGTCTGGTCCAACACCAATGGAGACTAGGCTCTAAGAAAAGCTGTCTCGGGTGTGGACCAATCAACTTCAAGGACAGTGCATATCATTATCATCATCAGAGTTGTTTCTTTTTGTTTGCATTTTGACTGCTTGTGTTGTGGTTATTGCAAACATGATGCCTTGTATAAAGGTGTCAGTTTTTGTACGAGTTGAAAGGGTAAAAACCTACTACTATATTTTGCCACTGGTAAAGGAGGTCTCATAGTATAGTTTTTCCTTTGTATATTAATTTCTGTTTTATAATA